ACACCAAATCCAGTATCAAACCTTGCCTTGGTGAACATGAGAGGAGAGCCCTCTTACCTGTGCTACCCATGCTTACTGTGGTTTTCAAAGTCAAAAATAATGAGCTTCATCACAAATCTCTTCTCACTTTGTTCCACTTTTTCCAAAACTGTGGTAATTTTTTCAGATGCTTAGCCAATCTTGGTTCCACACTGATTAATTTGTCAAAAATTCAGTGGGTGGTTAACGTTGTTGACTCAAACGTTTTAACTCATCAACAGCCACACACACAACTTTTCTATCATTTTGTAACTATATTTATGTAAAACTCTATATCTTATTATTAAAGTTCTTTTCGTAAATTAATATCATTTTTTATCCATTTTATGATTATTGTTTTCATCACCAAAGAAAATTCACACATTACACCAAAACGAAATTACAAACAGTACGACAGACAATTAAGAGAAAAAAATAGGAAAAAAAAAAGAAAAAACGAGCATGTGACAGGAGGCAGTAACAGGACAGAGTCCCAATTGACAACTGCCCCCTTACAGTATAAGGAGCAAAAAAGTGAAAAGTAGTGACAAAAGTATAAACGAATAGTTATTTATGGCAGAAGGAATATGACGGAATCTTATAGATAGTGTAATAAGCATTTGACTTGTTCTTAAGCGACAATAGAGTAGCACAGCGTTTACAGTCCTGGGGTACATTACTGCACCATTGTCAAGTGTGTGAATAAAAATAAAGTCTAAGTCTAAAGATATAACTTTGCCATTTGATCCTATCTGATGTGTGAAACTAAAACAAGCAACAAGATTTTGACAATTTCATTGTTTCACCAAATCTGTCGTATTCAGTCATACCAAGCTGTTGTGCTGCAAAGCCTTTGTGAGATGATGCAGCATCATCAAGATCAAGTCAATCAATACGATGCTGATGACCGGAATCATTCATCACAGATAAGGATATCAATATGAGTAACATGGTTTAGAAATTAAAATCTAGTATCATTCTGCAATTAAAAAAAACAAGAATTAGTCTAGCATTTTTCAGAAATTAGTTTGAAAAATGCTAGACTTATTTTTTAAGTTTTAAAAACAGAATTAAAAAAAATAGTTACTACCTAGGCTATGAGAAAAGTATACCTAAAGTTGTACTACAGAATCTACCGTAGTGTGGAAATGCTGGAAAAACTTGTCATGATCCCTGCACCCACAAACATCAATGCATATTCCACTGCATTCCTAAAGGCATGTGCAACTTGAAAATAACTTTGAATTTAACAAGTTAGCACTTTAAATTTGCTTGAATTCTTATATATACTTTATATTTTGTGGCAAGTTGAATATTTTCAGTTGTTTTCATAACGTTTTTAGCGCGCGCACTCATCATTAGAAATTTAGAGCGCGCATGAAAATACAAAAAGTATGATGTGGTTTTTTTGTCGTTAATTTAAAATAAAAGTATGACGAAGTTTTCGTCGTTAGTTATTTACTTTGTCAGTTCAGTTGTGTTCAACGTTCATTCAAAGAGAGTCAAGAAAAGTTGTGTTAATTAAGTTAGTTAAAAGACTAGAAATAATCGAAACTGGTAAGTAAAACATTGTTATTATATATTACTTAAGCATAGAAGTCTGTTTCCTTTACGCAAAACTAGAGAATGTAAGAAAAACAATTGATCTCAGGTTTGCCTTAAGCAACCGTTTTCAAGATTGTTTAGTTGTTGTTTCAAATA